GCACTGAATTCCAAACATTGGATTAAAAAGCCAGTGTGTATTTTGGACTTGAGTAAATACCCTAGAGAGCTCTGATTTCAGAAATTGAATCAAAAGGTTTATGAGAAGAGTTCTCTGTGCATTAACATCTCATTTAGTATCAAGTTTCTCTAATTATTGTTTGTAAGAATTTTGTATGAAATTGATGCAGATACACCTCCTTGAAGAAGAGGCACCATTTCTCTCCCTACTACGCATGCCTGCAATTGCCTTGGATTGCAAGGCTCAGGATGCAATAATCAGACTTCATAAGCAGGGAAAGAGTGAGGTGGATATATAAATGGATGTGAAGGAGAGGCAGGAGTAGACACCTGGAAGGTGACATGGGGGGAGAGACATGTGGAGATACTTGGAAGGGATATTTGGAAGAGACATGTGGGGAGACCGGTCCTTTTCTTGGGCAAAGACAATGGCAACTATTATCTTGATTCCATGTTGGATAATGTGATATATTTTGAATTTATAATCTTTCCTCTGTCCATCTCTCTGGAATCTGCCTAACCCCTTTCTTGTGGTTCCTTGCAGGTAGTGACTTAATGTTGTTTATAAACTTTGGGGCCTCAGCCAGTCTACTTTGGGCTGTGCCTGTTTGGGCATTGGCTCATGAGGAGAAGGTTAATTTGGGGGAGATTTATTGAGAAACTATTATCTGAAACCACACCCTCCCTCCCACACACATGCACACCAATTCTATTAAAAGTCTTTCACTCTTAAAATCTGCCTCCTTGCCTGTGTGTGTGGATGGTCAGACCCTCATTGAGAGTGTGCACCAATTAACAATTTAGGTCCTTCAGTATCCTTTAGGCATGTCATAACAAAATCATTAGTTTTGTGATGTTTGTGTGTGATAAACAACAAAGAAAATTCCTTCAGATTTAAAAATGTTTATTTAAGATACATAAAAAAATAAGATCATATAAATTCATAGTATCTGCTGAAAGGAGAAAAAATAATTTTAGTCACCCAGAACTTCTAAATGTGATTTACTTATACTAATACAATAAAAATTTTTTCAGATAATTCTCTGATATCAAAGAATATTAGTGAAGAAATACAAGTCACAGTTGCCCAAAACTCCTTGATCTCATATATATAGATATATATATACATGTGTGTGTGAGAGTGTGTGTGTATATGACCTTACTATATATATATATATAGGGTCATTTTCTATAATAAACACTTAACCATTTCTTGAAAATTTCATACATCTTAATCCCAATATTGAGTTATCCAGTCCATTATTTTTCAATCTATTTCAATATGGGGATATTGATTATGAAGTTAGCATAAGTCGGCTATAAAAATTTATGACTTTTTTTGATCTTCTTGTGACAATTTTATAAAGCCTTTTATAAAAAAAAAAAATAAACTAATTTTAATTGCCTAAAAGTGCATTGTGTATTTGTTCATTTGATTTTTGTTTTTTACATCATTCTTCATTGTGTGTATTTTTTCAACCACCAGTTCATCCAGGTGCCATTGCCATAGTCCAGTGCACTCTTCCCACCCCAGTTCTGATCCTGTTCTCCCTTTGGCCCACCTAAAATGCCTGTGGTTTATAGTTGTTCATTGTTTTCATTTTTTTCCTACTACCTTTGTTTGACTCTTTTTTTTTTAATCCCCTCTGATTCCTTATACTCCTGCTATGAGTGAAACCATTCGATATTTTCTTATTCTCTCTGGCTTATTTCACTAAGCATTACCCTTTCCATCTCCATCCATGTTTCTGCAAAAGACATGAGTTTATCTTTATTATTATTATTTTTGGTTGCTGAGTAATATTCTATTGCATATATGTGCACATCTTTTTAATCCGGTTTTCTATTTTTGGGCATTTTGGTTGATTCTATTTCTTCCCTATTGTTAATAGAGCAGCAGTAAACATGGGAGTGCTGGTATCCTTTTCAATCAGTGTTTTTGTGTCCTTTGGGTAGATACCTAGGAGTGGGATTGCTGGGTCATATGGGAGCTCTAATTTTAGCCTTTTGAGAAAAAACACAATGAATACCATCCCACGCCAGTGAGACTAGGACATATTAAAATAACTGGCAACAACAAATCCTGGTGAATATGTGGACAAAAAGGAACTCTCCTGCACTGCTGGTGGGGGTACAAGCTGAAAATTTATGACTTTCAATAGTTACTGCTCCCTTGAAATTGAAGCCACAAAAACTAAGACTTTATACTTACTAAATGAGATGGTGGGAAGCGGGAGGATAGGAAGAAGTGGAGATTGTGTTTATCTGTATAGGGGTGGAGGACAGAGGGACAAAAAGAGTGAGGAGAAGATTCTTACTCTTAGATGATATCATTAAAAAAGGTATATCTGGGAATGAATACTACTACTTGGGCAGTTGCCTTAAAAGAAAATGAATTGCGGGCCCTCCCTGGTGGCGCAGCGGGTTAAAGCACAGCACTGAGAATCTAAAGCCGCTTCCGCATGAATTCGATTCCCGCCTGCCCCGGAGGTGACCACATGGCGTGGCAGACCTCTCCTGACCCGTCCGCTGCTCCCCTCAGCAGTGTACTTCGTCAATCTGCCTGTTCTGCCCCCCACTCTGTCTCTGGTGAATCCTCTCACCCTCCGCATCTCTGGCCTGTACCCCAGTTCTGTATGAATAAATAAATAAATCTTTAAAAAAAAAGAAAAAGAAAATGAATTGCCTGCTTAAAGTTGGAAACAAAACATTTCAAAATAAGAATTGCAGAAGCATACCAGCTTGATAGGCAGCTGACAGTATTGAAAGATGGGGTGTGATTTTTATCTAGAGTTGAAATAAGAGAAGCATTTTAAATCCAGTATTCTTTATAATGTGGTTTACTAGATTAGGCTATAGTGACTTTTTCCAAGTTTAAAGAATAAGAAGATGAGTAACCTTCAAAGTCATGACTCCTAATGTTATTTCTGGTTCCATTTAAATCACTCACTTGATTCTCCATGAAAATTATTGAGAAATGGAAGGAAAATGGCAGTTAACTTTGCTGCATCAGCAGATCTGGAGCAAAAAAGTCAGTTGATATATATTTCAATATGAGTATCCATATTTGATACTTTTTCTAGAAATCTGGTTTTCCTTTTTAGATTTCCTGCCAGTTTTCTTCTACATTCTTTAAAAATACTACAAAAATGATTTGAGCCCTTTTTGCTATTTCCATTATCTGCAAGATTTGTTGCTCTAATATTACCTATTTTTCCTAGGTCTTATTTACCTACTTTATATCATAATCTGATAATTTTAAATGATATCCATAACATAGTTTATTTTAGAAGAACTATTAAAGACCAATGTATTTTGTAGATAATGCAAGCCCTCTTTTCTAATGAACAGTTGCCGTGTAAGCTAATCATTCAAAATTCTCCAGAAGTTGAGTTCTTCTGGCCTGTGCTGAAGGTCCAAATTTAATCATTATTCCAGTCCCCAACTATCTTCACATTCCAGGTGCTTCCTTCCTTCACATTGTCCTTCTTTGTCTTTTTTGATATTGTAGTTTTTATGTAAAATCAAACACAAAGGAAAGTTGCTATGAAAGTTTAAGACACACTTACATAAATTTTAACAGGATTTGTTCCTTTTCCCTCACTCCCTCCTTCTCTCTCCTTCTTTCTGTCCTCACTTTGATGAGAAGATATCTGTGTTTTAGATATGCACCTATTTTCTATAAACATTTCAAGACATTTTTTGTGAACTATTTGTGATCATTCACAAATTGAAGTTATTGTTTTCTTTAACTCCTATAAACTCTACTGTATTTCTAGAGGAAAAAAAAAACAACATGATACCATTACCACCCTATATTTCATTTTATCATTGATTTAACATTAATGCTATTTGTCAATCCATAGTCATTAGTAACTATGTATTATCTGTCCAGATCCAATCCTATTTCAATGATTTGGCCCTATCACCTCTTTCTTTTTAATCTAGAATAATTTGTCAGCTTCATTTGTTGCTCCTAGCTGTGATATTTCTGAAGAGCTTCAAAATGCACAGCTGTTTTATAGAGTATCACTTGATTTAGTTGATCTAGTCATTTCTTCTAACAAGTCTTAATTTACACATTTGTTTGAACAGACATTTAAAAAAGACTTAGTGGCCTTAAAAAATTAACCCTGTATGAAGCCCTTGTATCATTCTCTCCCAATATTAGCAGCTAGCTTTGTTAAGATAGTGTATATTATATTGCTTCCGTTTAGTTTTCTTTTTTATCATGTTAGTTGAGGTTTTCTGAGAAAGAAGATAGCATTAAATATATTGGGAACACCAATTTTGAGGGGGGAAATGGAAAGAAGTTAGAGAAGGCAAGGAGGAGCATCATATTTGCATCAAATATGATACAGAGAATATCATACAAAAAGGATGATAAAAAAAATCAAATATGATACAAAAAGGATGGCTGAGAAGGAAGGCTTCCAGCTGCAATGCAGTCTAGGAAATTTTTTAGCAAGCCTATGTTTGTTCATGGAGAGGAAGGGAGTCCTATGGCCAATGCCAGCATTACACGGCCCAAGTCTTATGGTGTCAGATAATTCTTTGATGTTGGGAGTTACTTAACATAGGATCTTTAACAGCATCCTTGGTTTCTATACACTAGATGCCAATATTTTCCCAGTTACAATGACAGAAAAAAAAAATAGATCTCTAGACAAAAACAAACGTCAGCTGCAAGAAACAACTGCTTCCATTGAAAACCACTGCTATACACTGTGGGTCTTTTGTTGTCTAGTGAAAGTTAGTATTTCGGAAGTCCACTCCTTGCCCACTTGAAATGTCTTTTCTTGCATGATGAGGTGTTAGTTATTGCTGAGGTCTTTTATATTCCCTGTACATAAATCTCTACAAGTGAGTCCTCTGGTGTCTGATAAGAAGTGATTTCAGTCTAAAGACTTCCCCACTCTTACTGCAAATACAAGGCTTCTCTCTTGAGTGTGTCTTCCTATGTGTGCTGAGAGTTGCCTTGTCACTAAAGCCCTATTCACACTCCCTGCATACATACAGCTTCTCCTCAGAATGCATCTGTTGATGTCTCATGAGGGCTAACTTTTGACTAAAGCCTTTCCCACACTCCATACACACAAATGGTTTCTCCTTTGAGTGGGACAGTTTGTGCCTGACTAAATTTGCTTTCTGGTTAAAGCCATGTCCGCATTCCATGCAAACATAAGCCTTCTCCCCAGAGTGTGTCCTCTCATGACTGATGAGGTGTGACTTCTGTCTAAAGCATCGTCCACATTCCCTGCACAAAAAGGGTTTCTCACCCGAGTGTGTCCTCTGATGTGCAGTGAGAGTTGACTTATGTCTAAAGCCTCGCCCACATTCTTTGCACAGGTAAGGCTTCTCTCCTGAGTGTGTCCTCTGGTGCGTAATGAGAGCTGACTTCACACTAAACCTTCGTCCGCACTCTGCACACATATATGGGTTCTCCCCTGAGTGTGTCCTCTGGTGTGTGGTAAGGTTTGACTTATCACTAAAGCCTCGCCCACACTCTTGACACACAAAAGGTTTCTCACCAGAGTGTATCCTCTTATGTTTTATGAGGTACGACTTCTGACTAAAACTCCGGCCACATTCACTGCACAGATGAGGGCTCTCCACTGAATGAATCTGTCGGTGTTTGTTGAGCGTTGACTTATCTCTAAATAGCCTTCTACAGTCATTGCACATGTGAGGCTTCTCCCAGGAGTGGGTCTTCTGGTGTGTGATAAGGTTTGACTTATCCCTAAAAGCTCGCCCACACTCCTGGCACACAAAGGGCCTCTCTCCCGAGTGTGTCCTTAGATGTCGGATGAGGGTTGACTTCTGGCTAAAGCTCCGCCCACACTCCTCACAAGCAAAGGGCTTCTCCCCAGAGTGTGCCATCTTGTGTGTGATTAAGTTTGATTTCTGGCTAAAGGCTTGCCCACACTCGGTGCAGAGATAAGGTTTCTCTCCTGTATGTGATCTCTTATGTGTGATGAGGGCTGACTTATAGCTAAAACTTCGACCACAATCACAGCAAAAATAAGGTTTTCCCCTTGAGTGGTTCCTGTGATGGACGAAGAGGGCTGATTTCTGGTGCAAACCTAGGTCACCATTTCCACACCTGACTACTTCAAATCCAGAGACACCTACCCACTTTAGTATTTTGTCAGTTTCTAAAGGGCTTGCTTTCTCAGCTGAACTGAACTTTATTTCCACTGTTGCCTTGCCTTCCTTTGAGAAGGTTCTTGAAGGAACCCTCTCCCTTGTCCTCTGAAAAAAGGTTTTGGAGTCATTACCTCGGTGTTCTCCTTCCACTCTGTCACTACAGGCACTTTCAGAAGAGAGTGGCTGTTGTGGCTGCTTCTGATATGCTAGGCAGAGATCTGATAGTTGGAGAGTTCCCACAAATACGCCTGGGAGGACCGGAGCTTGATGATCCTGGTGGCAGAGATGTTGACTGCAGAAATCCAGAGTGGAGGAAGAATATGATTGACTTCCTGATTTGGGAATTGCTGAATAGGGGTTGAGCAGATGTTCTCTCTTATTTCTCCAAGGCTCTTCACCCTGCTCTAGCAGAATGACAAGTGTTGGTTTAGAGAGTGGAATTCCCACGGATACCAGGTTACTGTAGTTTTCCAGCATCACATCCTTGTACATTGTCCTTTGAGCATAGCTTAACAGTCTCCACTCATCCTGGGTAAAGTCCACAACTACATCATGGAAGGACACAAATGCTTCTCGTCTCCTAGCTCTTAAGAACCCCAAGGCCATTGTTCTGATGTCCTAAATGGTCTGCAGAAAGGTGTGGTCTATCCTTGCTTAGCCCTGCCTTACTCATGTGAAGCTACCATGCCAATGCACCCCCTTCCCTCAGTCGCAAGTCTATACCTTGAGGGATTTCGGGGGATTTTCACTGGCAGAGGCTAAAGTTGCTTGTGACATGGTTGCAATAATTTCCCACAGTGAGTATAACAACTCTAAGGGATGATGGGTTAGAGGAAGCCCACCAACACAATTCTCTTTTCTTGTAGAAAATTATATAAACTTGTAGAAGTTTTACAAAGTTAGCCATTATGCTAAGGCTATGATCTATTTCACTTTCATTTTTGTGTACCATATGTGATAGTCATTTCAGTTTTCCCCCATACAGATACAAAATATTTCCAACAATTCTTAGACTATTTTCCTTCTCCTTTGAAGTTGATTTGACACTTTATTTGAAATCAGTGAGTTATAGAAGTGTGAGTCTATTTCTTGACTCCGTGGTCTCTATTCAGTTCTGTGAACTTTAGGATATGTCTGTTTTTGAGCGTGACTGAAGTATCAAATAGGTTTGTTTTCCCATTGGTTTCAATTTCAGAAAGTCCTGGAATCCAATCATTTGTATAATGTCCAAAACTAGTCAATTATTTTTTTCTTCTTCCCAGGCTTTTTCTCACCTATTTTTTCTCAACCCCAGGCTAGAATTAGAGAAAAGAGAGGTAATAACTTAGTTGAGAGGAGGTTCCATCTGACTAGAGTTCATTCTACCAGACCTCCCTATCCTCAGTCTTGGCAGAACATTGAATATGAACATGGTGATGACCCCTAGGTGGAAGTGACTGCTGCCTTTTCCTCCTCTCTGAAGGGGTTCCTTCTGGAAGTCAGTTCATTTGGCTTATTTAAATCCATCACTCTTTTTTTTTTTTTTTTAATCTTCATAGAAGGTTATGCTTTTTATGTTGATTATTTTTCTGGTGTTACGATTAAAGTTCTTTCTGCTCTTGTCTGTTTTAATTTGCAGCAGAAGTATACCTGGCAGGGAAAAATGAAGGGAGAGTTTAGAATAGTTTGTTAAAAAAAATGAATTTTTAAAAAATTTTTTGTGCTATCAATTCCTTTATCTTCATAGCAAAGTTATCACAAATTGACTCCTTTCTGTCTTTGGCTATTAATAACGTACCACCCTGGTTCAATAAACTTTATATTTTATGTTTTACAAAAGATGCTAAGATCTAGAATAATTGCATCTAAAAATAAAACAAGTATGCCCCAAAGGAAGAATTTTATTGTATTCCTACCTCTTTGACTATTTTGATGGAAATTGAAATATTTAATAAGTAGTAACCATAAAAGATAAAAATATTTGGAGGAAATTGTATGTATTTCTTAGGAGATTTGTTTTTAGGTGTGCTTATGGTGGGGTAATTATTATTTAGTAGCCTTCATGCATTTTCTAATTACAATATATTTCAGACTCTTGTCAGAATATTTTTGTCAATGTGTGTTTGTGTGTGTGTGAGTGTTTTTTGTATAGAGATGTGTATATAAGTGTGACTGGGTGTTGTGAGTATTAGAACTTCTAATGAATCTAAACACTGATCCTCACTTGGAAAAATAGCAACTGTCTCCAGTTTTGTTTTCTGGACTTATAACTGTGCCTCTAACACAAATGTAAGCTATGGAGCTAAGTAGTATTTAAATCACTTAATGTAATTTCTTTTCAAATCATAATGTTTGACATTCTATTGTTTGCTAGATCATTTTCATATGACATGTAGCTCAGTAAATATTTATTAAGTACCTAATATGGTCAGCCAATAGACTAAGTACAAAGAATTTGTCTATTATCACTGCTCAGTTATTAAGGAGCTCAACAAATTGGAACACAATTTATTTCCTAATATGGAGGTAGTTTGGATTTAGTAATTTCAATTATTGAACCTAAACAACTGTGAAAAAGCTAGTAGGGCAATACTGCTTAGGTTACCAAGGGCTTTCTGCTTGATCAAGAGAAATTAAGACATTAATTCACCCTTAACTACCTAGAGAACAATATAGCAGAGGTATAATTACAAAGTGGATAGAGACTAGTGGTTTTCTTTCCAAGTTAACAGTAATGAATGAATATCAATTCCAGCATATAATTTGGGAATTAAATGCAAAGAACAATTTACAAATATCTCAGGTACTAGAGGACACATCAAATGACACAACAAAATTTCTTCTAGGGCCTGGGGTCAGTTGTGGGACTAAGAACAAAGATAAGACCATGTGGAAGATAATGGAATGGGGGTGAAGTTGGAAGTAGATTATATAGGTTGATTTGTAAGAAAGTAAAAATGAAAGAAAATAAAAGGGTAAAATCACAGTGCATCTTCTCATAACAATGCACCAGTAGAATGAAGTTTAGTATTTGAATCATAGGGATCCTAGACAAATATCCTTGCAACATTACTACACTGTACTTTCTATGTGCAGTGAAATCTACTATTCTAAATTTTTACAAAGATAATATTTATATATATGTGGGGTACACATAAATAAAACGTGGATATATATATATGTATGTATGTATGTATATATACACACAAAATTATAGTGTACATTTATAATGTAATTAGATGTTATCTTATTTCAAAATGAAGGATAAGCAATGGAAAGAAGTCAGGTCAAGTTGCTTTTCAGAGGCTTAGCATAAAATACTCAGCCAAAGATTCATGCAAAGCAATCTGTTCCATTGCCTGATCTCTCATCATTATGTAGTATTACTACATAATGGACCCAGCTCACTCAAAAAGAAGAAACTGATTCTGTAAAGCAGAGAATAATAAGCAAATCATCATTACCATTATTACTAGGAAATGTAAATCATTTTCTAAAATAACGGTGTGTATACGTTTCTTGAAAAATGAAAAACAGTAACAACTAAATAAATATTTTTGGATAGCATTAACAGTTTTTGAGGAAGGCTTGAGAAAATCATTTCCAAGTAAGAGTTAAGAAATTACAACTTGATCAATAAAGCATTCACATTAATTTTGTATTGATCTAGTAACATCTCTATCTGTAGGAATAGTTTAGACACAGTGGATTTTAAGAATGTGTGTTTAAATTTTATTCTGCCAATTATAAAGGAAGGCCAGTCATTAAGCATGGAGGATGATCAAGAGTTGGCCAATTATAAATTTTATTCTGCCAATTAT